TTTTGCAGGTGAATGACCGACCAATACCGTGCCTAAACTTCTTAAAATCGTGCGAAGTTTCACGCCCGCATCTGCCCATCTGACCCCGCTGCCTGTGGCGGCCGGCCCAGCACGTGCTCCCAACACATTGTGCCGCTCACACGTGTTCCTCTGCACAGACGCATGTCCGGAGCCGCCAGCGGCGCCGGCCGGCGCCGCCGTTGTCGATACAGGACCGTACGACCCGCTGCAGCGTAACGTCACATTCAACTGTTCGAGCGGCGTCACCACCGTGCTCTACTGCCAGAACGGCACCTGGACGCCCGGCCTCAGCATCTGCGAGCCTGGTGCGCGCAGGACCGCGCGGCGGCCCGCACGACAGCTGAGCGGGCGTGTTTGGGGATGATGCGCCTGCGGTTTACGTTGGCCCCCTGTGGCACAGATTTCGCTTGAAACGTTGGTCGCACTTAGGCGGCTTGTGATTGGGCTCTTTCGAGACTATTCTGTATGGAGCAGTAAAAAAAGTTCCTTTTCGTTCATCTGCGGTATCCTCACCTTTAGAAAATGCTGCCGGTGTTGATGCCCAACGAGGACTAGCTCTTGAGAGAGAGAGAGAGAGAGAGAGAGAGAGAGAGAGAGAGAGAGAGAGAGAGAGAGAGAGAGAGAGAGAGAGAGAGAGAGAGAGAGGAGAGAGAGAGAGAGAGAGAGAGAGAGAGAGAGAGAGAGAGAGAGAGAGAGAGAGAGAGAGAGAGAGAGAGAGAGAGAGAGAGAGAGAGAGAGAGAGGAGAGAGAGAGAGAGAGAGAGAGAGAGAGAGAGAGAGAGAGAGAGAGAGAGAGAGAGAGAGAGGAGAGAGAGAGAGAGAGGAGAGAGAGAGGAGAGAGAGAGAGAGAGAGAGAGAGAGAGAGAAGAGAGAGAGAGAGAGAGAGAGAGAGAGAGAGGGAGAGAGAGAGAGAGAGAGAGAGAGAGAGAGAGAGAGAGAGAGAGAGAGAGAGAGAGAGAGAGAGAGAGAGAGAGAGAGAGAGAGAGAGAGAGAGAGAGAGAGAGAGAGAGAGAGAGAGAGAGAGAGAGAGAGAGAGAGAGAGACCTGAGTTGCTGCACGCAGTCTTTGCGCTCCCATTAATTCCGGCTTCCTAGCCCCCGCTGGGAATATCCCGTCTGGTTCCACCGTCGTCGGCGGGGAGCTCACTGGAGCGTCCGCCTGCCCGCCTTGCAGGCATATCTGAGTCTCCGCCGCCGCCGCCGCCGGGAGTCCGGGTCACCGACACGGGCCCGGTGAACGGCTCAGACGGCCAACAGGAGCGCACCGTCACCTACAGCTGCGCTGGCGGCGTCACCGACACGCTCACCTGGCGAGACGGCGCCTGGAGGCCCGAGCACGTCATGCCCTGCGCCGACCGCAGCAGTGAGTCCCCGGGGCCCCTGGAGGCCCGAGTACGTCAAGCCCCGCGCCGACCGCGGCAGCGAGTCCCCGGGGCCCCTGGAGGCCCGAGCACGTCAAGCCCTGCGCCAACCGCGGCAGCGAGTCCCCGGGCCCCCTGGAGGCCCGAGCACGCCATTCCCTCGCCGACCGCAGCCTCCGGGGGCCTCGGGCCTCTGGAGACCCGAACACGCCATGCCCTGCGCCAACTGCAGCAGTGAGTCCCCGGGGCCCTGGAGGCCCGAGCACGCCACGCCCCGCGCCTGCCGCAGCAGTGAGTCCCGCTCGGGGTCCTGGAGGCCCGAGCACGCCATGCCCTGCGCCGACCGCAGCAGTGAGTCCCCGGGGCCCCTGGAGGCCCGAGCACGTCAAGCCCCGCGCCGACCGCGGCAGTGAGTCCCCGGGGCCCCAGGAGACCCGAGGACGCCATTTCCCGCGCCGGCCGCAGCCTCTGGGGGCCTCGGGCCTCTGGAGACCCGAGCACGCCATGCCCCGCTCCAACTGCAGCAGTGAGTCCCCGGGGCCCTGGAGGCCCGAGCACGCCATTCCCTGCGCCGACCGCAGCAGGGAGACAGCGCTCGGCACCCGGTCCACGGCTCCAACTACCTGAAGCACGACAGCCCACGACGATCGCATCGAGACCAGAGTCGATGGTCTTGGTTTGTCTGGCTGTCGCGCTAATCGTCAGGCACTGGAAAACATGGCTAGGTTCGATGCTGCGGGGTGGCTATTAATTGGTGCTTCTATTTGGGTTAGAGTTAATATTAAGAGACAGTAACTAATTTTATGAGGTTTTGATATTAAATATCTATATTGAAGATCATTCAGTGCTATTCGCAGCCCAGTCTTCCTTAAGACCTAAAGCTCCCTAGTGTCTGAGCTACACACCCGCGAAGATGTGTAGCCTGTTTTGGGTAGACTATTTCAAGATCACCCAGGCATCTATGACGCAATGGTGACGTTATTCGAATTTGCCATTCCATTGGCCATGCGATGATCAAGGCCAAGAAAAATAAAATTGTGTCGCTTATATCTGCCTTCGTGAGCATTATTTCCGGATTAACGGCCGTTAATTGGGTCTCATTCAACGTTGTGCAAGATGCGATGACGTAATCAAACAATCAAGGCGTAATCAAAAAATAAAAGAGAGAAAGAGAGAGAGAGAGAGAGAGAGAGAGAGAGAGGGAGAGAGAGAGAGAGAGGGAGAGAGAGAGAGAGAAAGAGAGAGAGAGAGAGAGGGAGAGAAAGAGAGGGAGAGAGAGAGAGGAGAGTACTGCGCTAGAGATGATGACAAACGCCCTTGGTCACTGCTAAAGTTCGGCTTATTGACCCATTGGACCGTGTGCGACTGCATTGTGTCTTATAACACCATCGGGACTGTCTCGTGTTTCTCTGTACAATGTACGACCGTACTCCGTACCGAACCATGACTGCAGTACACTGTAGCCTCTCTGCCTGCAACGTGCACGCTTATGTCATGCCATTACTGCTACACCAACCGTGTCCGAGCGTGCCGTGATTATCACAGTGCTACCGTGTCCAAGCGGCCCGTGATTGCTACACCAACCGTGTTGTACGAGCATGCCGTGACTATCACACTGTACCGTGTCTGAGCGGGCCGTGATTGCTACACCAACTGTGTCCGGGCGTGCCGTGACTATCACACTGTACCGTGTCTGAGCGGCCCGTGATTGCTACACCAACTGTGTCCGGGCGTGCCGTGACTATCGTATTGTGCCTTGTCCGAGCGTGCCGTGGTTGCCACACCAACCGGGACCGAGCGTGCCGTGACTATCACGCTGTACCGTGTCCGAGCGGCTCGTGATTGCTACACCAACCGTGTCCGAGCGTGCCGTGACTGTCACACTGACCGTGTCCGAGCGTGCCGTGACTACCACACTGACCGTGTCCGAGCGGCTCGTGATTGCTACACCAACCGTGTCCGAGCGTGCCGTGACTATCACACTGACCGTGTCCGAGCGCCCCGTGACTGCCACGCCGGTCGTGTGTGAGCGTACGATGTCCGCCCAGACGCGTGTCCGCCGCTGAACGAGACGGCCGAAGCCGAGCTGGTGGAGGACACGGGGCCTTATACGGACGGCGTGCGCAGCGCCACCTACAACTGCAGCGACGGACGGCTCAGCGTGTTCCGGTGTCAGAACGGCAACTGGAGCTCAAGCGACCTGGCACCCTGTCAACGTAGGTGGCGCCACCTGACAGGCCGTGGACCGACTAGTGCCGGCGGGGCAGAAATAGTAGGATGCGCCTGAAAACGCGAATTGTATCCAGATGCTGGTTCTGGCTGCTGTAGCACACTATATTTCCCCGGCATTCTCTAACCATGCGCACCAGCGCAGCGTGAACACCATGGCGGACTCTTCATTTTTTAAATTAATGCTACATGTCAATTATTGCACGAGAGTATTGCTGCGCCCCCTTTGGAGGGCTGCCCCAATAACTTCATATTTAAACGACGGACCTAATGGCGTGGCGGAACGCGCCTGTGGTAATGGTGGAAAGGTGGCCTAAAACAAATACTGTTGGACTCGCCCAGTGATGTTTTGAAAAGTGTCCCCAATGGTAGTGCGTAATCAGTCCCGGCATCTTTGTTCCGTGTTCAACATGGCGATGGTGCACATACCTGTCCGTCCCGCCTCCTGCCCGAGCGTGTTACAAACGGCCGTGCTGAAACGCTGAAGACCCCAAGCCTCCGGGCCTCGTTCCATGCCCTTCCGATGCCTGGTATGTGAGCGAGCTGAGATGCTTGGTATGTGAGAGTACGTGTGAGCGGATGAGCACAGGATGGCATGACTTGAGTTCCCGCGCGACTCCGCATAGCCGGGTAGCAGCAGCTGTAGCTAGGTGAGCCGACTGGTGATCGATTTGATAGCCTGCAGGCAACGGGCTCGAAACGCTCTACAATACGTGCTTTTCTGTATAAGGTAAGGGATTTCAATCTCCATTTTTCAGTGGCTGTTCATTTGTATGTTTCTCGGCTCCGCTTCGTGATACTTAGCAAAGTGCATTCATTTTCACCGACTTTAATGACGTCACCGGAAATAGCCGTTATGTGGTGATGCAGGGTAATTTGTATGGCTCTTGCGAACTGCATAACTATTTCTGATCAAGTATCTTCCAATGTCACCCCTTGATATAAAACTTAAAATGCATCTTCAGCACCAAATAACGATGTGCGTTGATGTTGCTGGCTGTAGTATTTGTTTGACTGGGTGCGCAGTGAGTCAAGCAGTGGCGTCCCTTATCGCCATCACTTGCGGCAGCTGCTGTGTCAGCTGTACGCGACATCCATTCCCGGTTAAAATCCATGACCTTATCTCCCAAACCCTCAGTCTATATCCAGCTCACTTTCCCGACCTCTGCTCCTGTTGTTACCTTCCTGACCTTTCCCATTCACTGTGCAATCCCGCCTCCCCGCCGACTCCCGGCCGTGCCCGTGTGCCCTGACCCCCGTTCGACCGGCCGTGTCCGGCGGCCTCCCGAGCGCTCTCGGCGTCAGTGCGTCACGTCGACCGCCGGTGCGGTCGCGCTGGCGACGGGGCGCATCCGGCGTAGATAGCACCGCCAGAGCCGGCGCATCCGAGCCTGGACGAAGCCGGTGACAGTGCAGCGCCGGCTCCGCCGCCGAGCCGTCCTTCCGGCCCCACAATGGAGGGCGAGATCAAGTCGGGCTTCCTGTACGTGCCGCCAACCAACTGGCTCCAGCACCTGTTGAGCAAGGTGGGATGTGGCGCCGCGCCGCCTCGAAGGGGGTGGGGGGCGCTTGATAGATGGTGTCGGGCGGCAGAGGGAGTTGGAAGCCCCGTGACGGTGAGGGGTGTGACTGTTAACGACGGTAAGAGCTGCCTGCGCGCGTCACTGCTCTGATTTGACACCAGAGGGAGCTGAACACCGAGCCAGCTCCGCCAGACCCTGCCTGACTCGATCACGCTTCATAAGCTCCTCAATTCCGTAAGTTGTTCAGTGTATTAGCGAGGAACACTATTCTTGCAGATTAGACAGTAGTAGTAGCCTTATTCCTCGGAAAAACCAGAAGAATTGAGATATAGTTAAGTTGATATTTCGGCAACATGCCTTTACCGAAACCATAGCAGAAGAGCCGATTTCTTCCCCGTATTTCCTTCTGCTATTGTTTCGAGAAAGGCATTTTGCGGACGTATCAACCTAACTATGCCCCCATTCTCCTGTTTTTTTTCTTCCAAGAAATACGGCTAATACTACTGTCTAAGCCGCTCAGTTCAGATAATTATCGGTTCTTGATACAACACATCACTTGGTACCCGAATTCTGTAACGTGGGAGACGATGGTTTTGTTTATATAGCCAATTTTTCCTGGGCAACGATGTTTTAACCAGTACCCCGCGTAAATGCCCCGAGTCCAGTGGCTTCCTTGCCTACATGATGCTGCCAGACGGGGGTGCGGGTGCTGCCCCGGGGTGCGTCCACACCGCTGTGCTCTGTCGGCAGCCGTGGGTGCAGAAACAGTGCGTGCTGTACCCGGCCAGCCGACAGGGCGTCAAGCGGCTCGAGCTGTTTGACCTGACGCCGTCGCTGCACCGCAAGGAGCCCGCCGCGCTCATCATCCCGCTCAACGACTGTCTCAAGATCGCCCAGGAGCGCCACAAGCAGCGCGACTTCGTCTTCTCGGTAGGCGGCCGCGTACGGCCCTTCCTGGCTGCCGTGAGCTGGCAGCTCTCGACGGCTGCAAAACCAGCCCCGTGTGCGTGGGTGCGAGTCTGTTGATGTACAATCTCCATTGTGTTTAGGCGTCAGAATGGCTAGGGTGCCGCCATGGCCCCAACGAGAACCGTAGACGCTGACAGTTTGATCGTGTACGTTGCCAAGAGTTGATTTTTACGTAAAGAGATTACGCTTGTCTTTCAGGTGAGACGTTTGATGATGTCTAATTGTGAACCAACTCTGCTGCCCTCGGTAGAAGAAAATCAATTTCGGAACTGACCCTCCCTAATCAAATTATCGAAAACCCTGGGGCATAATTAAAATGAGCACTAACCATATAGGAGATGCGTTGAGTTATTATGAGGTGAAACTTAAGCCCTGAAAACTCTTTAATGCTGCTTTAGCAGATCGTTCGGCTGAAAGTGGATTCCAAAAAATATGCAAGTCGTGACAGGCTGATATCAGCACTTCCATATGTGCTAGATCAAGCAGCGGACTTCTCCGGAGCTGTACGTAAAACCGGGTCTGCGTTCTCGCGTCGAGACGCCGTGGTTTCGGGAATGAAGGGAGATATATGCATGGAAATGTGGTGAATGACGCGTTCGTGGAATCAGGAAGCTGTACTTACTATCTTTCCCGCTAGGTGGTGACGAGAGACGAGTCGCACGTCTTCGGAGCAGTGAGCTTGCAGGAAATGCAGAAATGGGTGGAAGCTCTCCAGAAGATTGCTTTCGGAAATTTGGAAGCCTACGAGTGCCCGAAGATGCTAGCAGCAGCGGAAAGACTGCAACAGGAAATTCTTGATGACAACGACTTGTATGGGCTTGCGGACGGTGGCGAGGCGAAACGTAAGCACGTGATGTACGCTTTCTCGTCAGCAAAATTCACTCTCGTTCCACCCTCCTTTCCCCAATCGCCCCTTCATCCCAAAATTTCAAGACCTTGCCCCCCCGGGCAAGCTACGGCCACCAGCCATCAGCCAGCTTGAGTGCCCCCTGGCAGGATCCTCGCCTGACCCAAAAGAAAGACCCCTCGTACCCAAAAAAGGACCCCTCGCGGGGTGGGTCTCGACAGAGGAGGTTTACGACGATTTCCGCCCTAGCATCCCATCAGCCACTTCTCTACCTAATCCCAAAGTCCTGAAGTGACCCTTGCTGGTGAGAAGGCGTCTTATCCAGACTCATCTCAACTCCATCTTCTTAAACCGCCTCATCCTGCACCTTCGCGGCGTTTTTCTTCACGGGGAGCTGCTGCGATCGTGGGTCATTAGCCAGCCAAACGAGCGTCCTGGATGATGATTGGGAGTGTCCCCTGCCACAAGCCCGGTGGCCAGCCCCGTGTGGCTGGCCACTGGCAATATCAGTGTCACGGTTTGGGAGGAGGAAACCAGGGTGGGATAGCATTAGCGCCATGATTTACCGCTCTTTCCCAAACCGTGACTCCGATACTGTCCATAAAAGCCAAGAGCCGTGATGTAGCACAACGGAAAACATTGATGAATTTTGGTAGTGAACATTTGGCAGTTTTTATAAAGATGGCCGCTCGTCTCCTCGTTTTCAATTACACCTTTACACCCTTCAATTACACCTTTACACCTTTCAATTTCACCTTCACGATGTCCGCGGGAGCCGTCTCAGTCCGCCTCTGGTTGTTACCGTGTCGTTGCTTCGTGTGGCGTTCTCCACCGCCCTGAACCCGTGACACTGACGTGCGCCTCCGCTGCGCGCGCTCCGCCGGCAGGCAACACGTTCGTCGTGTCGATCGACGCGAACGAGATGGCGAGCCGGCTGCAGCTGCGCGGCTCGCACCTGCTGGAGGTCTCGGCCGACGCCGTGCTGCTGCGCTCGGCTGGCGACCGCCGGCTGCGCTACACGTGGCTCTTTCAGCACATTCGGCGGTACGGCCAGACGCGCGGCGGCTTCCTGCTGGAGACGGGCCGCAGCAGCGAGACAGGCGCCGGCCTGCTCATCTTCCGCACGGCCAGCGGCGCCCTCGTGCAGAAATGCCTGCTGCGCGCCATAAGCGCGTACGAGAGCTCGCGCCGCAGCAGCGCGCCCGACCTGCCGCTGGGGTCGGTGCTCACGCTCGAGCGCAAGAGCGCCGCGCGCCAGGCGGCCATCGCCAAGCCGCCGCGACGTACGAAGGGCGCGCCGGCGGAGGCGGCGGCGGCGACGGCGGCGGCGGCCGACCTGCCCAACGTGGTGCCGCTGGCCGACAAGCAGAGGCTGTTCCTGCAGAGCTTCGAGCAGCCGACGCACGCTGACCCGCTCTACGAAAGTGGCGAGATGATGTACGACGAGCCCAAACAGCGCAGGTCGGCCTGGCGGGAGCTGGGGAGCGGCGGTGGCTCGGCCGAAGGGGAGACGGCCGGCCACAGCGCCAACAGCCGCAGCTCCAGTTCGTACTCGTGCTTGCAGCACCTAACGCGCTCCACCTGAAGCGCCAGGCGAGCAGTACGCACGCCTCAACCCGCTGAGCGCTCGCGTTGCCGCTGCGCGTACCGCCGACGAGCTGTGCGACGCGCCGAGCGCCGGCGCCTCCAGCAGTCGTATCTACGAGAACGTGCCGGACCCTGACAAGGAGACGGCCGCGCCGGCCACCACCGCAGTCGCAGAAAAGCCCCTGCAGCATGTCGTGATGAACGATGACATGTACGCCGTCGTGGACAAGCCGGCTCTCAACTGAACCGTCCCCAGTCAGATGAGAATCTGGGAATCTGAGCCGTCTCCACCAGAAGCGCCTGCCGGAATGTGATGCCACGAACGTTCGCCATCCGGTTCTACTGGTGTGGCGGTACGCTTGTGATGTGTTTACTTCGCTTAAGCGTTTGCGTATAATTACTGGCAAAAGCTGTGCCTTTCAGTGATAATGACTTAGTTGAGAAGGTGAGGATACGAACGCAGTTATGTCTTAACTTCCCACAGCGCATCGCCACCCAAAGCCTCTGATAATTTGCTCAGAGTCTGGGGCGCGGTACCACTCTCGCGGTTCGTATATCCTTGGTGCACGATGAATCAAATAGCATATGTATGCAAGGCCAAAAGTGTGGTGATATGTGCGTGTATTGAATAGAATCACCTGTAATAGGCAAACAAAGATGTGAAAGCTGGGGCCACTGTTGCCCCCCCCCCCCCCCCCCCGCCTTTCTCTTACATTACCACCAACGCACATTTCGTGGAAGTTTCACAGTCGCTTGTGCCAAAATTATAGTGATCCCTGCAAAAATTATCTTTAAAATAAGAGCTCATCCTCCACTTGCAGATAAAAACGAGGCATCAGTATGCAGTTGAATTATCCATTTGTGCCTCACAACTGAGGGTCCTCCGAGAAAACCACATTGTCCCGGCTGGAGCGCCATCAAGTTTGCAGACACGCGCCACTTTTTTGTTCTAAGAGATGAGCATGACCAAACGCTGCGTCTTGTGGATCGTGGCATCCCTAATACACTGGCGTGCATGAAAAACTTGGTGAGTAGACCAGCGGCCTTGGTTTTGTGATCCTGCCGTCGCTCAGTACACCTCGCTCAGCATACTTACTACTGAAGCACATCATAGTGCGCCGAAAGTTGCCTGCAGCTCGAGGTGTAGAGTGGACGAGGAGCCTCTTGCAAGTGGCGGCAAAGGGGAATGAATTGTCAAAAGGGCCACGTCCATGTGATTGATGGCAATCATGAGCCATACTCGTTGGTAAGAGTACAGGCTAAAATCCGACCCATCTGACTGTCTTCCATGAAAGGTTAAGGTTCTTTTCATGCTTAGCGCAAGAAAAACTGCAATCCACAGAGACAGATGGTATCGAAATGTCTGGAAATAGATGTAGTCTATAGATATTGTTTTGTACTGGAGGTAAATCAAATTTGCCAGGGTTCAATTAAAAATAATTGCAAAAAAAGACAAAAAAGAATATTACCACTTCCCGCACCTGCATGCACAAGCAATGTGCATGGGAGCCAACAACACAGTCGAAGGCGCCAGCAGAGGGCCGACCAGAGCGTGACCACTGGCTAGTCCTCCAAGCCTGCAGCCTGAGGGACGAACCCCAGTCCCGGCGGAGACCCGACTAGCGGGTAGTCACTGGCCAGAGGGTGGCCACCGGCCAGTCCTCCTACCCTGCACCCCGAGGGGCCGGCCCCAGCGCATCGCTCGGTGGCAGACACAATTAAGATGGTTAGCAAAATCTGAATGGAGAGACCAGATATAAGGACGTCGCCTCCGGCAGAGCAGGTGGCCGGGGCGCCATGGCCGAGTAGTTAGCACCTCAGTCTCCCGCGCGGTGAACCCGGGTCGATGCTCAGTTGCGTGTGACCCCTGAGCGCTCATTTGGCCAAGGCAGTCACTGGCGCTCTGTTGAGGGGAGCATGAAGGCATGTGTTGTTTTCCCTTTTGGAGAAGAGAAGAAAGCAGGTGGTACCACCCTTTTCTGGCTAAGATCTTGTTGAATCATATGGCAGAGCGCTGATCTGAGACTCATTGAACGCGTATAGCAGTGCAATTGAAAATCACAGCCTCATGAGTGTCTAATTTTCTATACATTGGGAATAGGCTCTTGTCCTTCGGCCATCCCCAAGCCTCTTAACTTGATGAAGGCCCAAAGCCGAATGCTTGTTCCGAATGGCCACTGTGGAGAACGTTGGGCTTTTATGGGAATATGCCTTTAATTTAAGCCTGTTTACCTGCTGATACCTGCATTTTCACCCCAGCAGGCGGTGTGAGCGCCGCCGCGGTCAGTTTCGCTGGCGGCACCCTGGTCCATAGAAGAGTCCTCGCTACGAAGGTGGCGCTACTGCCGGCAGTGAAGGTGGCGCCACTGCCGGCAGCGAAGGTGGCGTCACTGCCGCTGGAGTAGATGGCGTTACGGTCACCGCTGGAGACGGCGGCACGGTCGGCGTTGCAGGCAGCACCCCAGGGCACGGCGCGAGCAGCGCCTTAGCGATTGGCGGCAGCGGCGGCAGCGATCCCAAAACTCGCGCATTTGTACGAACTTGACCGTCACACCTGGTCGAAAGCTACTCACGGCTTTTTGTCAACAGGCGCGCCGCGGTTGCCGCCCAAGGCAGCACCCGATCGGCGGGCGATTCCTAAGAGGCGGTAATCTGCTGCTGGTAGAGTGGGGGATAATTGTGTGAGAGAAGTGTCACAGACAGTAATGTTAATATTGGAGGAGTTGGGTAGTGGACGACAGTAGGCGACAATGCGCTGAGGTGGACGACAGTAGGCGACAAAGCGCTGAGTACGTGACAGCGTATACGCAGGGTGCACATGGCGTGGCTGTGGTCACCTACAGTCTGTCACGTAACGAAAATATAGTTAGGCAACACATAGGGATTATGGTAAGCTTTGCCTCAATTGCGATTGACTGTTACCTTTGTCGTAAAATGAAAGTAAAAATATATAAATAAACCCAGGACCGTGGTGAGAACCCCAAAACAGCGTTAGTATCCACGTCTCTCATGATCACTTTGGGAAACCAAACGGTGCTATTGACATTGGTGCAGGAGTATTTTCTCCCTTAATGAACTAATATAGAATATTTCTGAATGGTTTCTCAACCGTCTTTTTGAACGTTTGCTATTCTGAGGGGCGTCATCAATATTACGACGTTAATTCTGAACAGTATCCAGGTCACTCAAATTATTTTGCGTAACCAGCAGGGACGAAGTTGAGAAGGGGACTTTTGGGACTCTCCTCCTCATTTGCAGGGGGCAACAACCCCTGGGATCGGCCCCAGTCCCCAATTCCTTCTTGGTAATTAAATACGACCGAGAGGCTTTTGAAGTAATAAGTGGGCCATGACGTGTTGCAATAGGGTTCCGAGTCTAAAGGGTCTTTTGCATAGAAACCGGACTCTATAGTGGCGAAGAAGGCTCCCTTGTGGCCAAGTGTGGCTCCCACCTCCAAAATCAAAATCCACTGATAGCCGAATATCTTTTTTCGATTTTAGCAAGCTGGCTACAAGAAGCACCGTGCATATATATATATATATATATATATATATATATATATATATATATATATATATATATATATGCCCTGAGCAGCCACACTTCATTCGTCTAGCAGAAGACGATTTCCAATAGAGCCACGCACTCACGTGTGCTATGTATCCTAGGACGCCTTGTCTCCTGCCCAACGGCGCCGCATGTGCTCAGGTTAGGTTGAAGAATCCACCCCTCTCCTAAGGGACGGCGCCGGCGAACGGCAGCCGCCGTTGGCTGATCCGCACCAGGCGCCCTGAGACAGGTCAGGGGACGGCAGAACCGGCTCGAACGGCCGCTGCGATGCCGGCTCCAGCTGCTCCGCTCCAAGCGCTCCGGCGCAGGTCAGAGGACGGCAGGGCCGGCTCGTACGGCCACTGAGGCGCCGGCGCCGGCTGACCCGCAGCAGGCGACCTGGCACAGGTCAGGGGACGGCAGGACCGGCTCGAACGGCCACTGAGGTGCCGCCTTCAGCTGCTCCGCTCCAAGCGTTTTGGCGCAGGTCAGGGGACGGCAGGGGCGGCTCGTACGGCCACTGAGGCGCCGGCTTCGGCTGATCCGCTCCCACTCGCCAAGCTCACGCGCGCCCCGCCTAATGTGCCGCCAACAGTGGCGCGCTTGTGATGAATTTCATGTGAGAAACGGACGCCGGGCGCTGAGCTGACGTAACGAGTCGCCGGGGAGATGAGCCTGACGGATCGCTTGCTGACGCCGGCGGCGCTGCGGCGGTCGCGCGCCGCGGGACGGCGCTCGCGGCCGCCGGCCGCCCGGCGGCCCCCGGCGCGGGAGAGACCGACGCGCGTGATCCGCCAGTCGACCTCGGCGGTGCACAAGGAGCTTGGTGGGAGACGATTGCTGTCGCCGCTTACGCTGCAAAAGGCTTAGAGCACAACTAAGGCAGGTCGCAGTGTAGAGGAAGTCTCCCGGTGAGCGCGGATGGCGCGAATTCACATCGTTGCCTAAGGAAACGGCTTGCAAGTGCTATTGAGTATTTGCAAGTTCTGGATCGGGCACAGTATTTTGTAACGTGCCATTTTTTTGGTGGGGTTGAGCAAAATTTGGGTGGGCTGGGAAATAGCCGTTTTTGAGGAAAATATTAATCTAAAACGGTGCTTTTCCCTTCGTCGTTTAAAATGATTCAGCATACAGAAAGGCACATTGACAGTCTGAGCGTTTGGTAAGTTACAGCACACTCTCCCGATTCGTATATTATTATTCGATTTACAGAAAGCATTTTCTTTGCAAAGACATAGTACTGTAAGATTGCGTTGGCCTTTGCATCAGCGTATGACCCATACTTGAACTTAAGGATCGCGAAAGGACCATGTTCCTTTTTATAAAAACCGTCAATTTTAAAATGCTTTGCTGGTTTCGTGGATGGTTTCGCGTGTATGTGGTTGGTTGGTTGGTTGGTAATGTGGATGGTTTCGCGATCATAACACTTGCTAAACGGAGCTTGTTGCGAATACTCTGCTTGCACGGCACTACGTGTGCCGATCCAGCCCATCGGTAATTTCCTCTCTGAACTTTGCCAACGCTGCAGAATGTTTTCCCTACAGGAGGTACTCAAACACAGGCGTGTGGGTTCACGTCATGGGACCTCGTCTGTAGGTCTGTAGGTTAGGTTAGGTTAGGTTAGGTTAGGTCAAACACAGGTGTATGGGTCTTCGCCATGGGACCTCGTCTGCGGAGCGTTTTCCCTACAGTAGGTTCTCAAACACAGGTGTATGGGTCCTCGTGCCTCGACTTCGTCTGCGGAACATTTTCCCTACAGTAGGTTCTCAAACACCGGCGTATGGGTCCTGGTCATGGGACCTCGTCTGACCTCGCTCACAGTCTTCAGCAGTCGGAGGAAGCAGGTCGCCCACACCCCGTATCACGCTGGTTGTCAAGAGACCTTCCGTTCACAGCCGGGCGAAACATATTGACCAGTCCCGGGGCTTGAACCCGGTACCACGGCAACACGCGCCCAGCACCGTCTCACCCATCACGGTTCCCGCATGAAGATCGTGCGTCAGCAAGGACTCGACTGCCTCACTGTTTCCGCGCTTAGATTTTAAGTGCAAACACCGACCAAACAGGCTGAGATGGTTCAGAGCCCTTTGCATATCTCGCTCCAACCGATGATCAATGATGAATGAACAAATTTTGTCTACTTCATCTAGGTACACCTGGAGTAAATCCAGAAATCTAACACATTCATCGTCTTGTGCGACCCTCTTTCTGAAGACTTCATAGAAGCTTTGTGCATGCCCACCACAATTTCCAAAAATTGGCACGAGTGGGGAAAATCGCCTGCTGGTCACACACGAATCTTGACGAAATAGGGGGTCGAGGCCGAAGAAGCGATGTTAAAAACCATGCCACATGTCACGACAGATGACAAATAACTTATTTAGCTTATGACGACATTGGGGATAACGCCAAACAATATAAGTCATGTGCTAGACTGCAAAAATAGTTCCGAACTTACGA